AGAGTATTTTATGGGGAGCTCCAGCAAGGGAAGAGGTCCCAGGGAGGACAGAATAAGCATTATAAAGACACCCTGAAGACTGCTCTCAATTCTTTTGGCATCAACCCAGTGATGTGGGAGGCTGCTGCACAGGGCCGGTCTGGATGGCGTACATCCCTCAAGCATGGTGCATCAGCCTGTCAGGCAGCGAAGGTTGCACCGGCAGAGAAATGAAGGCAGACTAAAAAGAACCGTATCGCTAACTCCACACTTACTGTAGCTTCCACCTGTTGTCCGCACTGCTCAAGAACATTCCGTGCTCATATTGGACTAATCAGCCACATTCGTACTCATAATCATCGATCATTACTACTTTCGATAAAAAGTTGTCTTCATCACTTGTGATGGACAAACAGCCTGCCTTTACTTCTCAAAATTTTATCTGCTACCCATTTAAGGCTGGGTCGACCTGGGAGCCAAGGTCATAGTTGAAAAAATGCCAGCTCTATTTGGTTTTTAACCCACGACCTTTGGATTCAGTCAACTTTCTAGCCACTACACCATGGCAGCTTCAAAGTAATTAAGGAAAGGGGCCTATATACACCAGTGTTTATCAAGACTGGCCAGCCTTCAGTGGGTGATGTGGTTCTACATCATGATAGCTGTCTTTACTTCCCAGGATATCAGCTAGTACCAGTTTTAGGCTGGGTAAGTACAAAAGTAGAAAAGAAGTGGATGAAGGCAGAAAGAGTGGATCAGTACAGCTTGAACGGCAGGGGAACAGATATCAGAAAGGGAAGACAATAATCACCACTGTCTGCTTCAGACAAGGTAACTAGAGGAAAACATAAAACAACCACTCATTAACAACATTAATGCCAACAAAACAGACACCAATAAAAGCAGCTGTGAAACAAGCATAATTACCACATGAATAAAACACATCAGAATCCTGAAAGTTTAACTCCAGATGTTCAACCATCACAACTGAAACTGAATATTCAACTGAAATCCTTGCTAAGTCCAAAAGTCCAGACAAATAAATATCTTTGCTTTTCTAATATGACTCATTAAGTTAAATTAGGTTACATCGCTAATAAGAGTCGCATAGAAACCACTCATATATATATATATCTCCACATAAGCCACTAAGTGCTGGTTGGTCTGTCAAAGTCTAGAGTCTAACACCACATGACAGATCCCAAAATGCAGATATGAGACTGTGACCTGTTCACTTGCTCGCTGTCTTGTTAAGCAAATGCATCATTATTCACCTGCTCACAAATCAGATGGTCTAGGCTCAATCCTCTCAAATAAAGTAAAACTTTAAAAACACTTTCACACCTGAAGGTGTGCTGGGTATAGGCAACTACCCCTATATTTTATCGACTCTTCAGCATTCGATATGTGATGTGCTCAATATCCCTTCTTCTCTTCTTCGTCACTAATATTTTGTATAAATCGCTCTGGGTGTCACAGTAGATACAGGGTTCTGCTTCTTGCTATTTTGGTCGCCGGGACAAAAGACATGTGTTGCTGTGGTAGAATTGTTCTGCTGTTATCTTTTCTTGATCTACCCTGTGCTCTATGTCCTTCTCCTCTTCTGATGCATGCTGTGTCTGGTATGGCATCACTAGATATTCTCTCTAAGTGGGTAAACCATCTAAACTGTTGTCTTTGTGCGTAATTTATAACTTGTTCTGTGCTGAGTCCTTCTCTTATGACCTCATTTCTCTCTCCTGGCCACTCCTGCAGCCCTTCTCAGTTAGTTGTGTTGACCATGTTCGGCACTGGTGGCAAATATATGCTTTGTGTGAGATGTTTCTTTAAAATCCCATCAACAAACCCGACTTTCCATAACATTGCCGGGTTTCCATTTTAGACTGGGCGAAATATGTAAAAAAAAAAAAAAAAAATATCCCAATAACTGCCTCAAGGAGAATTAAACACACGCCATCAGGTCAGCAAGCCAATCACTCATCCACCTGATCCCCTATTATTATAGCAGCCACCTCTTTCTGACCAGCATGAAAATTGAGTTTAGTCTGTCCTCACAGAATGGGTCCTAATAACTGTAAGAATATTCTACGCCACAATAAAAAAAAATTCAAAAAAAAAAAAAAAAAAAAGGAATTGTAACAGTATTAGTAGAAAGTAGAGGTTGCATTGTAAATACACTCAACATAAAAACACAGCAGCATAATCAATAGTACCTTAAACTGAAACCACAAGAGATAAGTCAACTCAAGATGCACTTTCAAAACTAACAAGCTACATGTATGCTACAATAGGAAATTCACATGGATCACACGATCTTACAATATGAATAGATGATCATCAGCTAAACTCAGCATTACACACATTGAGCATATATCATCTCTAGTTAAACTTTGACACAGAACACGATGCCACAGTGTGTTACGTCATCTTTAGCGAAACTCTACGATGCCACAGAGTGTGATATCATCTCTAGTTAAACCGAGACAAGCGGTGCACATAAAAACATTTAGTGAAGCGCATATACCAAACACAGAAATCAAGAACACAACCTGTTAGGCAAGTGGAGACAAGATTACAAGAGAGCATTAGTTCACGCACTCAGAGACAGACATCTCTTAGTTCTACTCCCGGAACTACAGGTTAGTTCTGACCTGCAGGAATAAAATATTATTTATAATACTTATTTTAATTGATTCTGAATGCCAAATGCGTAGAGATGCATTTAAAAAACAAAGAAAAGATGGCAAATGTGATATTTGTTAACTCTCCTGGAATGCCTCGCGGCGTCAGGGGAGGAAGAGATCTCTTAGACAGGCCCTTTTGTTCGCTTCATATATAGTACTTTTCAGTATCTCTGATATTTCTGTGGTCCATCTTCTGCGTGGTCGACCTCTGGGTCTGTTACCACTGTATCTGTATAACATTCTGTGGTGCCCTGTCTGCTGCCAATCTTGTTACATGGCCAAACCATTGGATTTGTTGTCTAGCTATAAAGTTCAGTATTGGTGCTGTGCCAATTCTCCTTCTGATATCATCCTTCCTGAGTTGATCTTTCCTCGCTACACCTAGCATAGTACGTAAACATTTCATATCTGTCATGACTAATTTCCTTCTGTCTTCTGAAGACAGTATCCATGTTTGACACTGATAGCAGATATTGGTAAGAATAATGTGTTAAGCTTGCATTTCAAAATTGGTGCCATTTGGCCGAAAACTTGATTAGCTTTATTGCATTTTTGTTGGATTTCTGTATTCATTCTTCCGTCTTCTGAAAAAATGCATCCCAACAATGTAAAATCCCAGCAATGTGTGCATAAATATATTATATATAAGTGGAGGAAACCTTTCAACGGATGTGGCCTTTGTATATATGACACCACACTTGTATATTTAGACCAAGCAACAGTCAATGGCAGATGCAGGCTGCCTCTGCTCTCCTGGACATTTCCTGGCACCCATTTTAGATTGCTGACCAAGCAGCTCAGGTCAAAAAATGTGTCCTAAAGACCAGCAGGCAGGCATACAATCCACAGCTAACTTGCTGTGTGTGTGCATTGTGTGCGTGTGTGTGTGTGCGCGCACCTATGCATGCACATGCATGTATGTACATAAAAATACCACAAGTAGAAAACATGGCAGATGTCTCAAAGTCCTAATTCCACAAACATAGATTAGTTTCATCAATGTGAGAATGCCTTGTGTTGTTATGATTGCCTTATGCTTTGTTAATTCACTTTAAGTAGAAAATGCTCACAAGAACACAACTATGGTAGAAGAACAAGACATAGCAAGAGAGGGAGAAAGAGAGAAAAAGAAAGAATCAATTCTACCTGTCAGTCGTCACCTTTGTGAGAGGAAACAAAAATCATGAAAGTAAACACAAGTATCAAATATTCCTCATTTCAACACAAAATAGAAAAGGGAAATCACTCTTCTTGTGAAACAACTCAAACAACGACTCCCGTATCTGCCTCACTCGTCCTAAGAATTTTGGCGGCATTGCATTTGTTTAAAGTATTGTGTTTGTACAACAAGGCCATCCATATACCAAATTTTAGATTTACGCCGGAATTTCATCCAAAGTGTAAAAAGTAAAGGACCTTTTTCCACACCTTCAGGCGTATGGGGCATATAGGGCTAGACCTATATCTTAAAGACCAATCGGCACTTGGTGGGTGACGTGGTCAGCATCACATCAGCTGCCTTTACTTCCCAGGATTTTGACCTAGCGCCCATTTGAAGCTAAACTGACCTGCAGCATGTAATCAAATACTATATTTATTTAAGCATACCTACCATACACAGTCTGGGGAGAAAGTGGGCGAAGAGAAAGTAAGTTCTAGCACCACCACCCTTTCCTCCCTATAAATAGCCCTTTAACCAAGCATATCACAAAAAGTTTTCTAACAAAAGGTTTGCTGAAATCACAACACAACATGTCCTTTTTATAGTGAATGCAAAAGACAAAGAAGGTGATTTTGGCAACAGACTGTCTTGCATTAGTTTAAATTGTGGTACTGAGAGCCGACCGTGCAGTTTCAGTGACAATCTGCTGAACATAAAACTGGTTCATAAAGTCATAAACAGCCAAAAAAATCCTGCGACTGTTTCTGCAATCTCCTTTCAAGGACAGGCTACTCACTTTAATACTCGTATTTATATTTGCATATTCAATATCAACAATGAATTATACTTTTTTTTACGTGTAAAGAAACTAAAATCCTTAACATTTTTCTCAGCACACTTCACTATCTCCTAACCGTAGCCCTTAAAAGTGTGGTTTTTGATTTAAAGCATGTTATAAATAAATAGAAAGAGACTGTCACATCAATGAAATCATCAACACATGAATCAATGAAATCACCAACACATGAACGGAACTGTCAGCGCATCAATGGAACTGTCAACACATGAATGAATGAAATCATCAACATATGAATGGAACTGTCAAAATATGAATGGAACCGTCAACACTCAATGAGAGCTTTACTTTAAAAACACACAAAAAAATGCTTGCTTACCTTGAAGAGTTGACAGCACCGGCTCCTGCTTTATTTCTTGGTTCATCTCTAGAAAAGTTTCGACAGGTCGCTAGCTTGGATTCCAACGCCTGACAGACACATGCAAAATTACATATACAATATATACAAAAATTACATATTCAATAAATGAGTCACACATAGCTGTTTAAAAAAAAATTTTTTTTTTAAATAAATACTAAAGAGATAACAACTTGAAAACCATTTTTTTTAAACAAACACTGTCCCTTATTTTTCAACATAATTGCCACCAACATCGATGCACCTGTCCCATCGTTTTATCAATCCTCTTAAACCTGCTGCATAGAACTGGGTGCTCTGTTTTCTAAACCATATTTCCACTTCACATTCAACTTCTGCATCATTTGCAAAATGTCTCCCGCCAAGGTGGGTTTTCATTGGACCAAAAAGGTAGAAATCGCTACAGGCTGTCGGGATGTTGGAAAGTGAATGTTCTAAAAGTTCCCACCCTGGATGGTTCATTTTTTCCTGAGTTAACCGAGCCGTATGTGGTCTGGCATTATCATGAAGGAGCAGTACTCCTCTAGTTAGCAGGCCTGGATGTTTTCTTTGAATTGCATCATGAACCATCGAAAGAACTTTACAGTATAAATCAGCATTGAGTTATCTTTTTTTTTTTTTAAATTGGTTAAAAACACTCCTTGACATACCAGAATACTGTCAGCATAAGCTTCCCCGATGATGGCGGAACCTTGAATTTTTTAACACAAGGCAAAGAAGGATGATTCTATTGCAGTGAACCACACTTTGATTTAAACTGTATAGTGATGCACCAATGATTCGTTCCCAGAAATAATCCTGTTGAATAATCGGTTCATTTTGTGTTCGTCCGTGCCCACCTTGAGCACAGTCAATCGGTCATGCATTATGTTGTATGCTGAACCATGTGAGCACCCTATTGCAGCTGCTACAGAGTCAACAGTTACATGCCTGTCACCTCTAATCATCTCCTCCACCTGCTGCACGGATGCGTCTGTTGCAATCTCAACAGAACGATCAGCTATGCACAGCTTCATAGGATAAACATTTATCAGCATAAACAGGAACCATGTCCTTTGCAGGCAGCCCCCCCCCCCCCCCCCCCCCCCAAACCGGCACGTTGTTCTTTGAGTGTTCACTCAGTAAGTACAGTCCTCATCTTGTTTCTGTGTTGCAAATGCGCATGCAACACTTAGCGCTACCTTATTAACAGAGACAAAAAGTTTGATATTGTCGTCACCTAATAACACCTTTGGAAACCACCAACTACCTTTTCCTGCAATCCCATAACCATTTGTGACTTACTTATTGACCTTCCCTCATATTTATATGTTGAAATAAATCATACAATCTGAGCAAAGTAACTATAGTGGTTGGTCCCTTTCCATCCTCCAGATGTCAGTGTTAAACTGTACAGCAAGGCATGAGAATCATAGCATACAGAGATGGTCTGTGTGACATGCAGCCTGCTGCCCCCAAGCCCACGCGATGTCATGCAGCCCATGGCACTCTAGGACACACCACCTCATGCAGCCCACGACACACCACCTCACGCAGCCCATGACAATCTAGGACACACCACCTCACACAGCCCATGATAATCTAGGACACACCACCTCCACAGCCCATGACACTCTAGGACACACCACCTCACGCAGCCCATGACACACCACCTCACGCAGCCCATGACAATCTAGGACACACCACCTCACGCAGCCCATGACAATCTAGGACACACCACCTCACGCAGCCCATGACAATCTAGGACACACCACCTCACACAGCCCATGACACTCTAGGACACACCACCTCACGCAGTCCATGGCACTCTAGGACATGACATCCAGGACACACGCCTCAGCAGCCATGGCAATCTAGGACACACCACCTCATGCAGCCCATGACAATCTAGGACACACCACCTCATGCAGCCCATGACAATCTAGGACACACCACCTCACACAGCCCATGACAATCTAGGACACACCACCTCATGCAGCCCATGACAATCTAGGACACACCACCTCATGCAGCCCATGACACTCTAGGACACACCACCTCATGCAGCCCATGACACACCACCTCACGCAGCCCATGGCACTCTAGGACACACCACCTCACGCAGCCCATGGCACTCTAGGACACACCACCTCACGCAGCCCATGGCACTCTAGGACACACCACCTCATGCAGCCCATGGCACTCTAGGACACACCACCTCATGCAGCCCATGACACTCTAGGACACACCACCTCACGCAGCCCATGACACTCTAGGACACACCACCTCATGCAGCCCATGACACTCTAGGACACACCACCTCACACAGCCCATGACACTCTAGGACACACCACCTCCACAGCCCATGACACTCTAGGACACACCACCTCATGCAGCCCATGGCACTCTAGGACACACCACCTCATGCAGCCCATGACACTCTAGGACACACCACCTCATGCAGCCCATGACACTCTAGGACACAACACATCATGCAGCCCATGACACTCTAGTACACACCACCTCATGCAGCCCATGACACTCTAGTACACAACACATCATGCAGCCCATGACACTCTAGTACACAACACATCATGCAGACACCATGACACTCATAGCCCATGACACACAACACACCTCCTCATGCAGCCCATGACACACCACCTCACACAGCCCATGGCACTCTAGTACACAACAACTCATGCAGCCCATGATACTCTAGGACACACCACCTCATGGAGCCCATGGCACTCTAGTACACAACAACTCATGCAGCCCATGATACTCTAGGACACACCACCTCATGGAGCCCATGGCACTCTAGTACACAACTCATGCAGCCCATGACACTCTAGGACACACCGCCTCACGCAGCCCATGACACTCTAGTACACACCACCTTATGCAGCCCATGACACTCTAGTACACAACACATTTGGTACATGCATAGAACAGACTGCATTACAAGGACAAGAAGTGCTGTCAGAAACAGAATTCAGTAAACCCTGGCACAGCAGCGTTCTGGTCTGGACTTAGCTGACACCATGCCCTCCTGTCCCACAAAATTTGTTCTTAGCGTTTACAGGCAGTAAACTCTGGCAGAAAGCTCTGGTACCACTTCTGGACTTTGGTCTCGCCCTAAAAAGTGGGTTTTGCGTGCACATCTGTTTCGCAGATCTCGACTTATTTGTATGCAGATTGCTGGTCCCTCATCTCTTAAGCAGATACACCCCGACTCTGAAGTAAACACACTGATTGGTCAACTTTTACAACACACTTGTTAGGGGGGCAGTACATTTGTTCTTTTTACTTTAAAATCCAAACTGGAAATCCAACAAAGGAAATCAGACACAAGATAAACCCACTTGATGGCAGGTTGCTACAATTAGGTATGTAGGAAACATACAAAGAAAATGAGAACAAATCAAGCAAATAAATGACTTCACCGGTTGAACTTACTTAAAGGGGTTAAGGTAGCAATACAGATTTTTTTTAAATTCCAACCAAAAAAAGAGATGTTAACAAAGAAAGATAAAAGGTGCAGAATGAGAAGTCAAAGAAATTCTGAAATGAACAAAAAACTCAAAAAAATCAAACAAGACATTCTAAAATTAACCAAGGCATTCAGAAATCGATCAAAACTGTTCAGACATCAACTACCACTCACTCACCCCAACTTTTCGAAGCAGGTCACCAACAATGTTGAGGGCAGATATTCTTGCTGACGGGGTCAACGGAGTGCCGGTGATACCACTAGCAACTCTGGCACTGGGCTGGCCTGTTTAAAAAAAAATAATACAAATGTGCTGCAATCGAACACGTACAAAATGCACGACAGGCTGCATTAAAAACTAAATTCAACTGTTATCACAAATAGCAGCAAGCCTGCATTTCTTTAGCTTGTAAAATCAATGCATGTATACTTTCAAAAGAATAGAAACCCTATTATCCTTTGGCATATTTCTATTAGTTGGCAGAATAAATTAACGAATGAATGAATCAAAAACTGACATCACTGCATGCGGCACACTTCCGCACCTGTCATGGGAAGGATCAAACTAATTCCAAAGGGTTACAAAAGGCTAGAAATAAAAGTGGCCAGGATGACAGTGATCATATCACCCACTGAGTGCTGGCTGGTCTGTACACATAGGGCACTGTCGCGTGCGGATGTGCACCAGAACGCACCAATACTGAGTGAGAAAATAAGACGTCAAAACAATACGTAACGTTGTGAGGGTATTGTTGTCAAAGGCAGTTGATGTTTATAGTCCGAAGGAGACGGACGTGTGGATCCTTGAGGACGCTTTACCCCGGGATCCCACGGAAGCAAACGTTGTATAAAGTTGGATCCTTGAGGACGTTTTACCCCGGGATGCCACAGTTCGGCAGTAAGCCGGTATACTTTGCAGTTGATGTTTAGGTGAATTGTCACAGCTCGGCAGTAAGCCGGTATACTTTCATTGCTTAGTTCGGACTTGTCCGAAGACAAAGATAATCGTCTGGATCTCAAGGTCGGACTGCGACCTATCGTGAGGATCAGTCCATGGATGTTTGAGCGGGCTTTTGTTGATGTGCTTGAATGAGTATGAAATATTACGTGCATATTTCTCCTTGTGTTGATCATTGCTATTTGTCAATACACAAATGGAACTTTTAAAGAGAGTTCTCGTTCCGCTACGTTTGGAAGCTTCAGCATTCATCATGTTGTGTTACTCTTGGCCAGTGGCATGTTAAGTGTTGATGCCATTTGTTACATTGTGACACCCCTAGTCATTTTCATCACCACGCAGCCTTTACAGCACGTCACACTGTAGCTCAAGCATACGCCTGTCACAATGAAGCTTTCGCACGTCACAGGCACTAGCACCACAATCATTACTCCTCTTTGTTCGAAGGTGTGAAATAGGATCGTGTACGTATACCTTCTCATGTTGATTATAGGAGAAGTTATCTGGAACATGACTGAAAAACATGGATTCTGTGCAGGTATATAATATGCCAAGTATCTGTGGTTAAGGCTTTGTGAGGTGCGGGTTTGATCCCAGTAGCACAAGCTTTGGCAGCAGACTGCCTTGTGTTGGTTTTGACAATGGTATTAAAAGTCTACCATTAGTAGGCATAAAACTGTCTAGTAAAATCACAAAAAAGTCAAATAATGCTAGGGTCGCATTAATATATATATACATAAATAAAAAACATGCTGCCATTTTGCAGTGTCTGACAAGATTTGCTGTGGACATGAGAACAGTGCCAGCACAGACATGAAAACAGTGCCAGCACAGACATGAGAACAGTGCCAGCACAGATATGAGAACAGTGCCAGCAAAGACATGAGAACAGTACCAGCACAGACATGAGAACAGTGCCAGCACAGACATGGTCTCAGTACCAGCACAGACAGAAGAACAGTACCAGCACAGACATGAGAACAGTGCCAGCACATGGTCTCAGTGCCAGCACAGACACAAGAACAGTACCAGCACATGGTCTCAGTATCAGCACAGACATGAGAACAGTACCAGCACATGGCCTCAGTACTAGGCTTTGAAGTGAATAACCTGGCTATAATGATCAACGAAACTGTCACAGGGTTGTCAGAATCAACCCATCATTCATCAGTACTGCAATGTTTCTGTTTCATATTTTACACTGATGTTTCTATCTTTTAAACTCAAACAAACCTGTTAACCATATCAGATCATTTGTGGGGAAAAAATGGTGCACCAGGAAGTTGCCAGATAATCTGACTGACACTCAACATTCAGAAGAAATGAAAGACGGATATGTATCCAGACTGGCCGCATCAGAACTGGAACTGTGTGCTGGCTGCTGAAGATGGTGATGGAGTGCTTATGGAAAGTCTTGAGTGCTGTGAGGTTGAGTTATTAACTCATCATCTGCAAACTGCATATGATAACATTATCCCAGAAAATGGTTCTGCCCTGATGGCGGTGCTCTGTTTCATAGAACAAAGAGCAGAAAAATGGTAGGACAAAGAAACACATCTTCTTGACAAATCAATTTCTCCTCATCATTTTGCAGCAGATATCTTGAAGAACATCAGTCAGACCACAAGACACAAGAAGATTTTATGTCCCTTGCAAACATGTTTGCCTCATGTATTTCCGCAGTCCATCTAGAACACAATCCCAAAGACCCAAATAATGCCCCTGTCAACAGGCTCCGACCCAAGACAAACTTCTGGTACAGCTGGTTGAAATAAACAGCTAGAGAAACAGTATCATCAATACATTGACACATACTGACATTTACTCATAAAAAGTGGTAGAGAGATTAACTGACTGACCAGTTTGTCCCAAATGAAAAAAACAAAAGACCACTGTATTTGGACTGCAAACTGGACACAACAAACTCTGCAGCAGTTTGTATACAAAATTCAAGACTGGGGACTCACAACTTTGCCTTTTTTAACAGACACACCAGAAAACTAAACAGGTGCTGCAGATGTGCTGTCTTCATGCCATAGAGAGATCCTAATCCTTGCCAGAAAGCATTCTGGTGGAAGCAAAGCTGTATGAATCACTGGAGGATATGTGTTGCACCATGTTGCACCTCAGCTTCCATAGAGGCTTGTGACCCTCTAATCTGAAAACCAGTGACAGGGACAGCAAAAGAAAAGAAGTATTTTCATGCCGCAAGTTTCCTGTGTCAGTCTTCACAATGGTCAACCAGGAATCATCCAATGTGCCATTTAATAGAGGCATAGTCAGTCAGCTTCCGTGACATGATGTTTGTTGTGAGCAAGTTTTCATCTATGTCACTCAAAGGATGATGTGGTTGACATCATGTGGGCCACCTTTACATCCCATGGCATTATCTGATACCCATTTTAGGCTGGGTCAACCTGGGAATGATTGCCATATTGTACAAATCCACCTTGACAAAGATTCAAATTCAGGACTTTGAGTCGACAGAGAAGCACCCAGTCTGCTACTACAGTTTTCTTTATCCATTGTATTCCAGGAATTTTTCTATAAAAGAAAACTAGATTATTCTATAGAATGTAAAAAAAAAAAAGTCTAAAAAGGTACTATCAATCTGTTAATATGCTGCTGGAATTCTATATTTCAAAATGTCTACCTCTGTCTGTTGGTGTAGTTGGGGTGGTTGGTGTTGTACCCGGTGCTACATAACCGCTATCTTGCATGGGTAATACTGCAACCCCAAGCAAGCCGTCATCGCTAGTCTTAAGAACCACTTCCTGATGTTGGCGGACATCAATTTCTGACTTCAGATCTGTAAGGCAAAGAAACAGATACAGATGAATCTGAATCTCAACAGTGGTATCCTGAATTACTGGCAACATTCACACACAAAACAACAAAAGGATAACATCAACTTCTGGTACAAGACAGCAAAGAGGTAAATTGCTTACAATATATTCACACACACACAAAAAACAAAGCATTAGATTGAACTCAGTGCAACAGCCTTACCTGTAGTATGATTTGTAATTCTAAAATGACCCAATTTATTAAGCTGCAGGTAATTTGGCAGCAGACCACTTAGCACTGGTTTTTACAATTATCTCAAGAGCCCACCATTCAGGAGTAATGGCAAACTACAGAGTGCAAAACTACCTAAAAAAAACTGCAAGCAGCTGGGCAGATATGCAATGTCCTGTAAGGCACACGTAACTAACAGACATTTACAAAACAATAATTCTGAAGAGATAAATGAACTGCTTTTTAACTGAATTGATGAATTGCAGCCAAAAGAACACCACAGCGGAAGCATGCACAGCAGGAGTCTACCGATCATCAGTAGAAAGGTCCCTCGTTGACGATTGTTTCAGCCCATTATCCTCCTAGACAATCTCAGAGGGTGGGCTGACCTGGTTCATGACTCCTGCTGCGCTTAACGAACGTTCGGACAAGATGAAATGGTGGCTCTGCAACAGGTATTGGGAGGTTTGATATTGTCGCAACCAGAGTGACAAGCTCACGGTTGGCTCATCGGACAGACGCTAAACTTTAGCAACTGGCAGAGACATTGGCAGACTTAATCAGACACTTTGGCTTTCAGGGATGTAACGTTCTTTTCCACTAGTGGCTCAAACCAGACTACCAAGGCCTATCCCCGTTGCACCCACAGCCAACTCGAAGCCCTTCAGTTGCTTCACCCAGTTGTTTTAGTGCCCGTTTCTGTTTCTTTCCTGGCAAGACCAGGAGCTTTAGTATATTGTATGTTGAGGTGGAGAATAGCCCTCTTATGCCTACCTCAACAGCGAAGAGTTTTACTGTGTACGCCTCATGGTTTCTCAGACTGGCCAATTCACAGTACTTTTCGAGCTTGTACAAATGATTGTCATCCATCTGCAACTCCTACGGCATGTTAAACTCCATCAGGATCAGCTGGTGTTCTGCTGCTGAGCGCAGAACCATGTCTGGTCTCAGGTTAGTCATTCGAATTGACTCGGGGTATGTCTCTAAACCAGGCAGGTCGACCGCCAGTAACCAGTCCCTCACACAGTCAAGTACTGATAGAGCATATGAGAGTGCTGAAATAACCTTTATAAATCTTCCCCAGCCTTGAGGAAGAGCACAGGGGGTATGGACTGGCCTTCATCCTGGCTTTATCCACAATGTCCACCAACTCTTTCAGGATTGATTGTGGCGCCATGTATATAGTCCCAGGTCTAGGGCTCTTCTTCACATGGACAATACATGCTCGAGCGTCTGCTTAGCTCTGCAAAGGGGACATGTTAGGTCGATGGTCGCACGCCATTTGACTATGTTAGCACCTGAAAGTAACACGTCATAAGCTGATTTGATAGAGAAGCCCAACCACACCGCGGCCATTCGCCAGATCGTAACCCATGACTTCCCGCAATTTAGAGCTTTCTGGGCAGATTCTATAGTATCTTCAACCTTCCATTTCGTATCTGTTTTTAGAGCAGGGCTGGACAGCGGCCACTGGAGGTTCTGAAGACTGGCGTAGAATCATCGTGAGCATTACATTGCCAACTTTAAACTCTTCGGTTATTGATCTGAACGGACGCACCAGCTTAGCCTGTCAGACAAGGCAGTGCTCTGAGTCATTTCCTGGTGGCAGTGTTGATTTTCTGCTCCATTGCCTACACTGCGCTTATGCTAACTTCATACACTAGCAGCGGCCAGAGGAGCTTTGGAATCAACATGAAATGGAGACACCAAACCTCAAACTTCCCAATCAGCCTGCACTGCTCAATAGAAAGCAGGCCTGCTTCCAGTGACTCATAGGCCAGACTTCCATCCTATCAGATAACTTCAAATCGTAGACGCGGTCGGGGCTCTTTACTGGTTCCTCCAGAGCTGTGGGGATCATTTTGTTTGTCACCATGAATCTGGTTGCCACTTTACCTTTATGGATTGAGATCTCTGGACTTTGGAGGCTTGATTGCATGCCCCACCCTTCAACCACGCAATCCAGCCTTTTCAGAATAACGCGGTCATGATCTTCACTGTCCATTATGATCCCTGTATCATCCATACATGCTTGCAGTGGTGGCATCCAGTGATCCCCAATATGAAGGCACCAACTGATGCCAGCACCACATTACTACTTGTATTTACCATCTTTGTGGTGTAAGCAATCTCAGCCTGAGGATTTTTAAGGCCGTATGGATAGTGCTGTCATCCTTGACTGTGCAGGTTAGGATTTCTACATCGACAGAAAAAATCAACAACCTTTCCTAGTTTTTCCGCTTGAGAGCCCAGTATTCTTTACTGTCCGGTTGCTTAACATACAATACTATAAAGAAATAAAATGCTTGCAGCACATATATACAAGACAGCAAAGAGAAAACTTTAGTTTCTTGCAACAGACACAAGACTTTGAGTTTCTGGATTGACTGAAACAGTGATACACAAGACAATTAAGAGATAGCATGACAGCATGAATTGCTCACAACAGAAACAACAACAAAAAGATAACATACCTCGAGCTTCATCCTTTAATCTCTGAACTGTGTCAAGTAAGACTCCCTTCTCATCCAATTCACTCTCTAGGAACGCATTCCTTTCAATTGCCTGAAACCATACATTTTCAACATCCCTCTCAATTTTCTGAAACCATACATTTTCAACATCCCTCTCAATTGCCTGAAACCATACATTTTCAACATCCCTCTCAATTGCCTGAAACCATACATTTTCAACATCCCTCTCAATTGCCTGAAACCATACATTTTCAACATCCCTCTCAATTGCCTGAAACCATACATTTTCAACATCCCTCTCAATTTTCTGAAATTATATATTTTAAACCTTCCTTTAAATTACCCAAAATATGCGTATGTTTGCAGGCTTGAAAATTACAGCATTTCTACAAATCTTTGTCCCACTGTCTGCAACTCATTATCACCATAAACTGGACTTTAGCCCTGTTCCAGAACATGAGTTTTGCATGCACATCAGTTTTTACAGATCTGGTTTATTTGTCGATTGCAGTCATTCTTATTTACCTCATCACTTTATTTGTGTCCAGACTGTTGGCTCCACACCTCAAGCAGATGCACTCCGTCTTCAAATAAAGCACCCCTTAGAAGTAAAATCAGGGCAGCAGTAACAGCTACATCAGAAACCTGTAACCTGCAGTCCTTTGCAAGTGGGAACTTAAGAGAGAGAGGACACCATATCTCTCTACTTCTTTCTACAAGTGCCAATCAGTAACGCTGCATGATAACAATGATAAAGAATGTGTCTTGGTATTGCTTTTGTAGATCCTAATATGACTCAAGGTTGTTCACCCTTGACCATCCTATGCTAAGCTCAAACAGGTAAGTCAGTAAATGGCTTGGTGGCTTTGAACACAGGATTCAGACAGACAAATAAAGCAAGGATTCAGACAGACATATAAAGCAAGAATTCAGACAGACAAATAAAGCAAGGATTCACACAGACATATAAAGCAAGGATTCACACAGACAAATAAAGCAAGGATTCACACAGACATATAAAGCAAGGATTCACACAGACATATAAAGCAAGAGTTCAGACAGACAAATAAAGCAAGAATTCAGACAGACAAATAAAGCAAGGATTCAGACAGACAAATAAAGCAAGGATTCAGACAGACAATTCAAGCAAGGATTCACACAGACATATAAAGCAAGGATTCAGACATAAATAAAGCAAGGATTCAGTCATGTATAAAACAAGGATTCAGACAGACATATAAAGCAAGGATTCAGACAGACAAATAAAGCAAGGATTCAGACAGACAAATAAAGCAAGGATTCAGACAGACAAATAAAGCAAGGATTCAGACATAAATAAAGCAAGGATTCAGACAGACAAATAAAGCAAGGATTCAGACAGACATAAAGCAAGGATTCAGACAGACAAATAAAGCAAGGCAGCAAATATTTACCTGATTGAGCCTCAGTTCAAAGTCTTCTAAGGAAACGACTGTTGCTCTATGGAACAAAAACAAACAAAATAAAAATCAAATGTATTTGGCTTCACAGTGATATATTGCTTAAAGACCGGGCTGGAAAATTCAGGAAACTATATCTTCTCATTATTCTCTGCAACTTCCAATCTTCTTAACAAGAGATGTATAAAAATCCAATTTTTAAAAAATGTTCTGGCACTCTGGAACTTGGTGTCACAAACTTAAAAGAGAAGGCCAACTGGAGAGATGAGTGGAGGTGGGTGATATCTGCAGCAATGAAATTCAGGGGTTTGGAGCACTGAAGAAGAAGTTTTGACGCTCTCATAACTCTTTTAGATTGGCAAAGTTTGTACAATCAATTTGATCCCTCTTATCCAAGGAACACTAACAAAAGGGCCAGGAATTCTAGAACAAACATCTGTTTTCAACATTTTGTTTTACACAGCCTACAAATAAATTTGGTATCATTTACAAGAATTTTAAAACATTTCTCACACAATTTATAAAGATATATGAAGGCAGTAATGAATAAACGTAAAAATAGTGCAGCTCCTACCTGGAGCCGGAAAAAAAAGCTATCTTCCGAATAACTGTCCCAAATTATCGAGCCCAAAAATATACCTTAACAGGGCCTCAGTCACATGTAAATTGAGGCCTTCCGCCATCGCTGAAAGTAACTCCCATGCCGCGACGCGCAGCGTGGAGTGGGGGTAAACTAGATGGCTGGGGCTCATGAGCAAAAAAAAAAAAAAGAGGGAAGCTGCAGGAGATGCAGTAGCTGCTGCTCGTGAATCCCAGCCACCTAGTTTAGCCCTAATCCACGGCGTGTGTAGCGGCAATCTTACCTAGACATATTTGTTATCGAAACTGACAAAATTTGTTCGTTAAATGAAATTGTGCACGTAAAGCTTTCTATCATAACAACAAATGTAGTTATTTTAGCACCCTGTTCTCTCACCACAACAATCCTGCAATCCACTCCATTTACAAACAATCCTTTGTACCCTAATTCAATCATAACAATCCAGCAATTGCCATTTACATGAAAACTATTAACTCTGACCACATCCCCCCCCCACCCCCATTATTAGTTCACCCAGTCCCCAAACCCTTATATCCCAACCATCTACCCCCTCCCTCCCCAGCTAATAATGAGGGTCCTGCTGGGGTGACCGTTTATTAAACCCTCATATAGTCAAAATGGACGCTAAGCACGGCCACCTTTTTTTTAAAGCCATGGCAAATGTTTTTTTTTCTTTTTCTTCTGCCAAACAGTGCTCGTTGCATTTTTGCTCCATTTGTAGACTGGAAGCTGCGTTTGTTTTTCGTTGGCACAGGAGCGGAGCAACTGTGGGGTGACCAGTTTGCTATGAAGCTGAAACTAGGATTACCAGATTACCTCACCCATTATCCCAACCATCTCCCTCCCTCCTTCATCCAATATCCCAACCATCTTCCTCCCTCACCCAATATCACAACCATCTCCCTCCCCTTATACACCAATAACCCAATTATTTGTCACCATTCGCCCCTAAATGGCCAGGTGAAACATTATATTGTGGTCTGGAGCAAGACTGATACCTGCCCATACCATTCAATAGCAATTTATGAATCTGTAGACTTTTACATCATGCTTGGAGTAGGGGAGGGGGTGTAAAAGCTACCAAGTCTTGTCTGCCAGAACCCTCGACACAAGAATCCAACCAACCTTTTAGCCCTCTCTAAGTCATCGTTGTCATGCTCCAGTTCTTTGATATACTTGTGTGCTTCCACTCTGGCAAAACCCTCCACACAAGAATCCAACCAACCTTTCAGCCCTCGCCAAGTCATCGTTGTCTTGCTCCAGTTCTCTGATTTACTTGTGCAGCTCATTCTTGTGTGCTTCCACCCTGGCAAAACCCTCCACACAAGAATCCAACCAACCTTTTAGCCCTCTCCAAGTCATCATTGTCTTGCTCCAGTTCTCTGATATACTTGTGCAGCTCATTCTTGTGTGCTTCCACCCTGGCAAAACTGTCCTCCAGCTCTGTGATCCTGTTGTGGCTGTCAGTCTGCAGTTTCTGCAGCTTGTCCTGCATTTGTGGGTTTAAAAAAACACACATAACACAGGGGATTTCCACAAATTGATCAATCAACAAATTCTCATAAGCACATGAACTATGCATACACAGTAAAATTACTCATAAATTAATTAAGTGTTATGATAAACTTGTTTCAAGTGAGAAACATCAAATACTAAAAATGATTCCAGAAAAAGAACTCATCTACGCACCTGATTCAAGACAGAAAGCTCATCACGTGTGAGCCTCAGTAAGAATGAAAAGTCAAATCACAGACTTGGCTTAGCAAAAGTTTGATGCAACACTTGATCTTTCTTCTTCTTTCGTCTTACTGCTATGCCATTAAGTGTCGCAGAGAGGAGTTAGATGTTTCTTGTCTTCTGCTAGTTGCGTAGCTTGTGTTAATGCCATATTGCATTTATTGTCTCTTTTACTCCCTTCACCTATCTCTTTCTTGGTTGGTCTCTTGCCTTGTAGCTTGCCGTTATCATGTAGTATGCTCCAGCTACTGGCTGATTTTGTTCCACTCTGACAAGATTCGTAAATCTTAGTACCCCCCCCCCCCCCCCCCCCCCCCCCCCCCCCTTTGGTAAATTTGATTCAAGAGAAAAATGTAAAAATGCATTTGAAATGAAAGCCCCAAACTGCAATTCGAGGTCCAGTAAAAGTCAAATAATAAACATGATTTATGGATGAAAGTTAAATAAGAAACACGATTTAGCAAAAGTCAAATGATGCATATTGTTTGAGGTTAAAAAATACAAGCGAAACATCCAGCACACCACAATATCTTTCAATTCCTGGTACATTAATGTTATATCACACCCCCCCCCCCCCCCCCAGGCAACTGTTAGTGTGTTCATTCCTAGGTTAAATGTAACATATCACATCTGTAAAATGCTACGCCCAATTAAATTTATTACACAATCATTTGTCCACGTAAACTTAACACACCACAATTATAAAATGGTAGAGTAAATACCAACCCTGAGTGAATCACACTCATTCTGCAGTCTTTCACTGATCAACATCAACTCTTTGTTCTTCTTTTCCTCCTGTTTTAGCTGGGTCTCTAGTTCCTGCTCCAGCTCCCGGCTACTTATCTGGAATTCCTCCAACTCTTCTTTAGTTTCTTCAAGCCTGTGCCAGGAGACAGGTTATCCAATCTTATATTACTATATTTGCAAAATGTGTGTATGTTGAATTCAATATGTGAAATGTATGTTAAAATCAATATGTGAAATGTATGTTTAAATGAATATTTGAAATATTTGTATGTTGAATTCAATATGTGAAATGTATGTGTTTTATTAATATATAAAATGCATGTATTTTTAATTCTACATGTGAAATGCAGGTGCTCAATTAAATATGTGGTGTATGAATAATTCAATATTTAAAATCCATATTTGATTAATTCAATATTTGAAATATTTGTATGTTTAATTAAAAATCTTAAATGCACGTACAATATGTGAAATGTATGTATAATTAACAGAATATTTGAAAGGTATGCTCGTTTAATTCAGTATGTGAAATGTATGTATGATTAACTGGATATATGAAATGTATGCATGTTTAATTCATTTATCGAAATGTATGTATGTTTAATTCAATATGTGAAATGTACGTTTACACTACTATGTAAAATACATTTATCTAAAAAAAAACAAGACCTATGATTTCACAATGACAGAGTATTGCAGTCAACAAAGATAGATTTATGCGGTTAACATAAATAGATTTATGTGATAACACAGATATTATTTATCAGGTCACAAAAAATAGATTTACCCAGTCACAAAGTGAGATTTATGAAATGATAAAGATAAATCAGCTCACAGGAACATATAATAAACACGAGAAATATGCTTTAAGGAAAAGTACATAAGTTGAATCAACACTTACTTTTGCTTTCAGGAAAAGTACATAAGTTGAATCAACACTTACTTTTTCTTTCAGGAAAAGTACATAAGTTGAATCAACACTTACTTTTGCTTTCAGGAAAAGTACATAAGTTGAATCAACACTTACTCTTGCTTAAATTTCTGTGCCAGATTTCTCCAATGCTCGATTTCCTGATCTTTGGACGCAAACTTCTTTGAGGAGTCCATCTTTTGTCCGCAGTATTGACAAAATTTTTTTTTCCGCGACTAGGATTATCTTATTCACAAGGTAATTTAATGTATACAGACACCTGTCACTGTCAGTAACCAACATATAAATACTCAAGCCTGTCCATTATTCTTCAACTATGATTTATAATAATTACTAGACCACACAATATTAACAGAACACTGATATTAATTTCTTCTGTTACTAAGAAAGCAAAGCAATCAATGTTTATGTATTTTCCATGTCACTTTAAAGAAATCTAAATTATCAGCATGTTTCCAGTGGAGCTGTTACATGTAACTTTGACTGATCAGCTGCCAGAAATCTGGACAGCCCTCTTCACCTGCAAAATATTCAAAAAGAGAAATTTAAATTTTTTATTCTGTAAATTATTTGATTTTTCTTCTTCAATTTGTTGACCTCTAAAATGATTTATAATACAAAAGTAAATACATCTGGGTTGGACAGACACTTCTTTGCCTTCATCAGAGGACATTCTCTTGGCACACCGTGTTGCAGTTATCAGCTAAGTTGCAATACATGCATTTATTTGCCCTACACAACCAATTTTACTAAACCCTTAATCAGTCATGTTAGTTAGACTCTGCACTGATTCCGACAATGGTATATAGTCGGCAGTTCAGTAGGCAACAGGCAAACTACTGCACTTAAAATTACTAATTACTTAGTTGAATCAAAAACACCCCCCCCCCCCCCTTTCCCCCCAACTGCCAGGGTTGGTTTTGCAACGCCCTGTAAAGAACAGTTTTTTTTTCTAGAAATTAGTTGGGTTTTTCTTGTGTCCCCTAGAACCCACAGATTCTAGCACCCATCCTTTGACCAGTCTGCTGACATAATGTATCCAAGTTTTCACAATGACAGAATTGCCGAGAAAAGCCATCTAAAATCTTATACAAATATGACTACCATATATTAATTATTATTACTAAAGTATTGTGTTCATGATACATGGTGCTGATTGTCCATTAAAAGATGCATTTAAAAAATGAACAGCCAAAGATACAATCAGGGCTTTGGCTTTTTTTCTTTAAAAAAAAAGTACTGGTACTAACCACAAAGTGTATAGAAAAGTTACTGTAAAAGTAGTGCGAGGTGCAGCGTGTTTCCACTGGGAGCTGTAGAAGTAGTGCGAGGTGCAGCGTGTTTCCACCTGAAGCTGTAGAAGAAGTGAGAGGTGAAGTGTGTTTCCACTGGGAGCTGTAGAAGTAGTGCGAGGTGCAGCGTGTTTCCACCTGAAGCTGTAGAATAAGTGAGAGGTGCAGTGTGTTTCCACTGGGAGCTGTAGAAGTAGTGAGAGGTGCAGTGTGTTTCTACTAGGAGCTGTAGAAGTAGTGAGAGGTGCAGTGTGTTTCCACTGGGAGCTGTAGAAGTAGTGAGAGGCGTAGTGTGTAGTGAACCGCTTGTCAATTGTGAGTATCAAGTTCAAGCTCCCGTCCCGTCGTCATCCATTTCGTTATTCATTATATTTATTCCTAAACCTACTTCAAGAACCAGGGGTAATATTACTATTGATATTATGACACGTTCCTCATTATGTCATTTAACTGTCAGTGTTTGTTATTATTTCAGCATCTCAGTTACTGAAATTTTGGTTATTTGAAAACAAACACCTTTCAATAGTTTAACATACCACCAAGCTAAATAATCCAGATTACATTAAATTTACCAACAGAACGGAGATGAAAGGATAATATTTTTATTAATTATTTAACACTTATATTTTATTTAAATCAATAAATGGCCATCTAATAATTTCAGCTTGCACATCATAAGACAAATAATTATAACAATGAATAATTGTTAGTCAGTAATTTATTTGGCTCTCCTCCGAACTTCTACCCCCGCATTATGGTGGCAACAAATATTCGTACGGGGCTCAGTTCTATTTAAAATATGCGAACTTCCGGCGACGAGCGAATTGCGGCAAAACTAGGATTACCTGACCCTTTCAAGAGACGCAACACTGCAGACGATAGTAGCAGATGATAATAGCGACCGTTGACACTTTTGAGCGTTTCTGCAGACGATACTAGCTACCATGGACAATTTCGAGACATGCAACATTATTGACGATAAAAGGCACATTGCGGGGAGTCCACGTGCACCGATTAGCGTCGCTGTTGTCCTCAAACTTGTCAGCTACACTCACCGCGACAGTATCCCCATCGCTGCTACGCGCGGTGCGGATGGGGAGCTAAACTAGCTGCCTGGGACTCACGAGCAAATTTATTGGAGGAGGTTGCAGGAGATGCGGTAGCTGCTGCTCGTGAGTTCCAACCATCTAGTTTAGTCAACATCCGCGCCGCGCGCAGCGGCGCCTGGGATACTGTCGGCGTTGAGGCAAAGTCACAGAAACAGATCCGCAAGTAACATATCGCTGAGACCCTGTTAGAGCATTTGTTTCGTTATACGGAGCCGGCATATTTTTAATAGAACTAAGCCCTGTACGGATATTTGTTGCCGCCATAATGCGGGGGTAGAACTAGTAGAAGTTCGGAGGAGAGCCATTTTTTATTTTATATTATATTATTTAGCGACTACGGTGTCCAGAAATTTGCGATCTTTTGGCAATTTCCGTTACCATGGAAACCGTTCGAAACTTGCTTCGGAAATGTCGGCTGGGGTTTCGGGATGGGTCCTAATCTCTCATGAAATTTTGCGATTGGTGTGATTTTCACCCACTCTAAATAGCTGAAAACAGCGGTAAGGAACCCAATTAACAGCGCATGTCTACGACAGCAGGACGTCCTCTGTTTTTCTGTTACATCAGTTTGATTGAAAATAGCGCTAAGTATTCAAGGTTGGCTTTAGGCTTTAACTGTTACTGGCCCTGGTAATGCTAGTTATAATTGAATTCTCCGTCCATTTTTACATTTGTGTATAAAATTTCTTTCTTGTCAGTGGCTAGGTAGATGTACAGTGACATTTTTCAGGCAATCGCTGGCTCAGCCAGTGGCTGTGTCTCATTGGCTGCCATCTTGTCCAATGACAGTCCAATGTAAACAAAGCCAAAACGAAAGTTGCGCAGTTTGGTTGCGCAGAGAAAACCTCCTTGTTTCTGGGTCACAAGTTTTAGCAGCTGCTTTCTAGTACATCTCATCTCCACAAAAACCTACATTCTACATATCTCAGCTCAGAAATGACATAAAAGCCTAAATGAGGTACCGTTGGAAAGAGATTGTTTACAGCTATCTAACTGTGCTGGTTTTATTGGTGTATTGCATTTTGAAAATTTGACTAAAGTACCTAAATTAATAATAATAATTAACGCCCCAAAAAAGGAAGGCAACAATTGTCAGTCAATGCAGACGTCGTGCACATAACTACACTTGGGCAAGTGTAATTAAATATGAACCAATCATTAAGTATTACCATTAAAGACAGTTATAAAGTAATTTCTTATATTTGTTTACTTGCCAGTCGCCACAAAATTGTCCGCCTGCTTGATCAATCCGAAAGCATTAAGTATAAACACGCCATTTTGACGGAAGTGATCAGCTGTGCGTGCCAGATACCGAAACTTGTTTGAAAACAAAAGTCCGTCAACCAATTACAAGTAATAATAATACAAAAATATGACTTCCCAAATACCATCAGATAGATTACCCGGATTGTAGTTACAATTTCTGAAAAGAAGATATAATCTAGAATATAATAGATTAGTCTTACAAATGCAGTAATCCTCTTTTGTCCTACTACTTATGGCGTGAAGCGTTACAGGGGAATTAGATATAGCTCCCTGTCTTTTGTTTACTGTGTAGCTTCAGATAATTCATATTGCGTCTCTTATACTCCCTCCGCCCATCTCTTTGGTTGGCTTTTTGCCTTGTTGCATTCTGTTCTCACGTAGTACGCTCTGGCTGCTGGTCAATTTTGTTCCATTCTGATCAGGATTTGATTCTTTGACGTTCTTTGGAATCATTACCGGTACTTTTCCTACCACTGTTATTAGTTGTCAATCAATATTAAACAGTAATAATTATTTAACACACATAAATACTAAATAGTCAGTATCTCGAAATTAGGTATGCCATTTATAACCAGAAAGGGTTGAGCGACATATCTCAGATGGCTTCGCTTTAGCGACTAAGAACACTTAGGCACAAGAACGTGGAGGGAAATATTAGTACACACAGGTTACTTATTTTGTCTGGTCTTATGTCAGAAAATTGACCTTTAGTCTTGATCTAGGATGAAAGCTCCGATAGACAGAGTACTTCTAATCCGTTCGCGCATGCAGCAAGGTTTGTCACAGATAGACAGAGCACTTCTAATCCGTTGGTGCGTGCAACATGGTTTGTTCCAAACGTATTGATATTATCGTTCTTGTGGAGTTAGTAAAGCAGGCCAAAGAGGGATCATGGACAACACATTGTCTCAAAAATCGCGCCCAAACCAAACGCTATGGCCAGGAGGGACTTCATGCCTGGCCCTAATTGGTATCACCATGTTCATTGATTCACATGTCCCTCTGTAGTCTGAGAAGATGGAAATGTGCCAACAAAAAAGAAATTAGATTAAGGTTTAGGATTAAATATCGGATCAGCATCATGGCACCCATAAGTGCTAGGAGTGCGGCGTGGGACACAATCAGGGTTGCCAGATAAAATAAACCCTTCTTTTTATGCCAAACCATTACCCAAAACATGCCAGAAAATGCCAAATAAAGTGTAACATTGTACCTACTTCACATTAAAATCTCTAGATTAAACTCTTCACTGTTATCCTCACTGGAACCAGTGGAAAATACAGCGTAAACCTTTCGAGATGTAAAATCTTTAAGCATTTTCTCAGATGAGATGAAGCCTTTGCAACTCATCTAAAATGATGGCATATTTTTTGTTCCGAAAATCATCAATAAGGTCATCCTTAAGTAAGTGCAAGCGATATATCTTTTATAGGGCATAAACATTTAGTTATATGCAACTGTATGTGCTCCAATTTACTCCCATGCGCTCTCGTGATTTCACTTAGATGA